ATCCACTGTAGTCCATAGTAAATGCATCCAGCTGCAGTATATGGAAAATAGTAATTAGAGGATCAATCAACTCAAGATTAAAAGAAGCGATTATTCAGTGCACTGTTCCTGTAAAAAATAAGAAAATTGAATGAAAATTTATATTTTGACTAATGTTATTTACGTTATTTTGGTTTGCAAACGATGGTATAGTAATATTTTATTAGATACTGATACAAGTTATTGATACACTAAACCAATTATCCAATTATCGCTTACACGCTACTACGATTTTTACTCGAGATGTTACATTAGTATGAAATAACATAGAAACCGCGTGTGTGGAAGACTCGAAAGCTTCAACCGAAAGAACGCAGGTAAAGACACTGTTGAGAGGAATCATTTGTAGCGCTGCTCCGGAGTGGGAATCGTGGGCGCCGAGCGGTTCAATGCCGCTGGTGCGGAGGAGAGACACTCGCGCGCGGGGCGCGGGGATCGACCGCGCGGGTCCAGAGCGCGCGCGCCTGAGCGAGAGAGAGACAGAGCAATATTCGCGCCCTCACCCCCTCGTAAAAATCGCCACCCTTCGGCCTTCCTCGGCCCCGCGCTCGCGCACTCCTCTCAGGAGTCATTACTCCGCGCCCGCGCCTGCCCTGTACTCGCGGCCCGAGCCTCTCTTTCCACCCCGCCCCTGATCACGCCTCGTCCACGCCCTCGCCTTCGCCTCGCCCTCGCCCTGCCTCGCCCTCGCCCTCGCCCTCGACCCTGCGCACCGCCTTCGCACCCGCCCTCGCACCCGCCTCGCACCCGCCCTCGCACCCGCCCTCGCACCCGCCCTCGCACCCGCCTCGCACCCGCCCCTCGCACCCGCCCTCGCACCCGCCCCCACCCGCCCTCGCACCGCCCTCGCGCACCGCCCTCGCACCCGCCCTCGCACCCGCCCTCGCACCCCGCCCTCGCACCCGCCCTTCGCACCCGCCCTCGCACCCGCCCTCGCACCCCCCGCCCCCGCCCCGCACCGCCTCGCACCCGCCTCGCACCCGCCCTCGCACCCGCCTCGCACCCGCCCTCGCACCCGCCCTCGCCACCGCCCTCGCACCCGCCCTCGCACCGCCTCGCACCCGCCCTCGCACCCGCCCTCGCACCCCCCTCGCACCCGCCCTCGCACCCGCCCTCGCACCCGCCCTCGCACCCCCTCGCACCCGCCCTCGCACCCGCCCTCCCGCCCCGCCCTCGCACCCGCCCTCGCACCCGCCCTCGACCCGCCCCGTCACTGAGCACGCTCAGTTGACGCGTTCCAAGGTGCGCACATTCAGAAGGAAATACATATCCAAGTACTTTTTAGGGGTGGGTGCACGTGGATTCGCGTCAGATTTTTGTTCACTAAAACTTTTAGGTAATACAAAAAATACCTTCACACGCGAGTTGTACGCTTTATGAAAGACATTCTTTAAAATTACAAGTTTGAATTCAAACTTTAAAATTATACGTTTGTAGCGGTCGAGTATGCTTCTACCCTCCCGCTCCTGCCCCGTACTCGGCGCCCGAGCATCTCTTTCTACCTGCCCCTTCCTCCCTTCCAGCCCAGCCCCTCCCCTCCACCACCCCGCTGCACTCTCCCCGCAGTACACGCTCATTCGCATTTGATGCGTTTCAAAATGAATTCATTCAGAAGCGAAACAAGTATTTGAACTTTTTAGCGGTCCGTCACGCTGTTTCAGTCTAAATTGTATTCAATCAAAATTATGCCTGTTATATAAAAAAAATACGCGAGTTTTACTATTTCTTTAAGATTTTCTTGTGTTAAAAGTACAAGTAAAAGGGCAAGTTTGGAGTGGTCGAGTCTGCTCTAGCCTACCCTGCCACTGTCCTCTACTTGGCGTCCCAGCTTCGCATTGGGTCAGCCCTGCTACGCCCCTGTACGCACACGGTGGACGCGGCCAAACGTAACTACTTTCAGAAGAGGCAGGACAATGTATTTTCGCTTTTTAGCGGACGGACTCACGGTTTCAGCCAGAATATTATTCAACCAACATTTTCCATGCTACAAAAAGAAAAAAAGAAACAATCAGAAATATACTTACGCGAGTTGTACTTTTTCTGTCAGATTTACTTTTGATAAAATTATGCATTTTTTGCGTTCTTTATTCGTTTTCAACCAGAATACCTAGCAAGAGCGTGCTGGAGAAGTAGGCTTGAGGAAGATGACTTATTGTTATAAAATATGGTAATTCGCTCAGACTAGATTATGCTCTAGTTCTGCATTCACAATCGAATATGGACTTTAGTGAGCATGAACAATTCTTTATATATTTAAACAGAATATCAACAAGATATATTGTGGATTGAGCAGATACATGCCATCTCTTCCAAATTTTGTGTCATTCCCTGCTTATGATAACACATATTGGTAAAGTAAAGTTTAAAAATATTACTACACATACTTTTGAAAATGTAAGATAATTGAATTAATGTCCTTCCAAACATATCAATAACAATATATTACTATGACAAAGAGGGGTAAGTTCTCATAGACAGTAAGTAACTAACAGAATATATAAATATTATAAGGATTGAATGTAATATCAAAAAGGAAATTAACATTTACTAAGCTTGGACGGAGCTAAGAATATTAGATTTTTCCATGATGCACCAAAATTAAAATACTCATGCTTAATCTGTAGTGCAAAGGCATAACACTACGAAACTAAAACTCTAACTAAGGTCGGAAATCGCCCTTAAGAGGAAGAATTTTTGTTGTACAATATGTCAATTGAATTTATTATCTTTTAAAAATTGCTGGGGGATGATTTAAAAAAGGAGTGTCCGCATGAATTCAATAATAAGTGCAATTGTTCGTATAATGCATAATTTTCTAATAATTTTACATTTTCTTTTAATTTGAAATAAGGTATAAATCACTCGTGAAGATAACTTCTATTTCTAAAATTCTATTTAATATATTTCTGGAACGCTTCATGGAGTCAAATGGAGACTTTATAATGCGACTAGATATTATTATAAACATTCTTTTATGAATTATTCCATATAATGTGAACGAAAGCAATATTTAGTGTCGGAAAAAAGATTTTACCAACATCTTAACAAAGTTTTTGACGAGCCAGAACAGAAATGGAGGATCGTATCCGTATCACTGGAAGATACAAACGATGCGATTGGAATTAATACGTACTAATGAATTTATGAAATATTTTTATAGAGTACCGGCTATTGTCAGAAGTCATAACTAGAAATTTATTTTTATATGAATTCTGTCTGCCAATATTCTAAAGGACATTTTAATGCTAATTTTAGCTTATATCTTACGTAATTGGTCTAAAATATTATCCAGAATGTGTTTTTTAGCGTAGCGTTATTTAAAGGAATTCTTTTATCCCTATATCACATATTTACTCAATGAAGCCCTGAAGAAAAATTAATTCGTTATATTATTTGTCCTAAAATTCATTGTTAGGTCGAAAACAACTCATCGGTAACAGTTCGAAGCCTCAGAACCTGTGCTTTTTGTGCGGAGTGGTGAGGAATAGTGCTAATTTTTGTGGGGCTACGTAGGAACGTGAGGGGGCAAAAGGGTCATAGAGAAATATTACGATATTGGCTGTCCGGAAGTCTGCGCTGATAGCAGATTATTGTTATAGATATAATAGTAAAATTCAATTTAAAAAGTATTATATAAATGGAAATGTGCATTAATTCGAGCCATTAATGAATACGAAAATTATGATAAGCAAGTTTTTGCAAGAACTTGTTCTGAGTAATCAAAACTTATATTTCATTGGAAAAATTGATATGAGAATGTCACAGTCCATTTCAACAAAGTGAACACTTTGGTTACGTGATAGTACAAAGGCTTGCAAAAACGATAAGGATAAACAATGTTATACTCCAGATGAATATGTTTTCCAATAAAAATCTAAATAGTAATGCTCTCGAAACATTACACGAATATACATTTTGTAAAAAAATGTTATAAACGAATTTTCAGAATAATGATCAGAAAGCGGAAAACGGAATATTAAGACAGCGAGGTTCTCACCACAAACGCGAGATTATCACGCTACATCAAAGCGGTAACTTCCGAACAACCTAGATTATCAGTGCAGATCATCATACAGTTAAATAACTGCGAGCTCGGCCTCCGTTACAAATAGTGAAGAGACGACAAACAAGCGCATATTTTGAAAATTTAGAAAACAACGCTTCCAGTGCCGATCTTCTTGTAAGACACTATCTGATAAGACAAACAACAGGGGCACACAGATCTCTACCCCAGCTGTCGCCGAAGTCGCAGATATAATAGGTGCACAAAAAGTTGACCCAACTAAAAATGTCGTTTTGAGAAGAACGCTTTAACATGTGCGGTGTCAGAAAATAAATGTTATAATCTTCTTGGATATTATAATCTTCTAGAGTCGATGATCACTTTTTGCCACCGAACATGTCACCGGAATTGCCACCGGAGATGTCTTTTACCGAAGTTGCACTTGTGGCATTTGACTCTGATTAGAAGGTAACTCATTTCCTATAGGTATTTGGCTAGTACACGTGACGTAGTCGAAGATATCACGTGCTACGCATCAGTGAAAAATGAGTCACTTACCAATCAGAGGTAAATGTCACTAGTACAACTTCGTTCTATGATGAAATAATTGAAGTAATCATCTTCAATGGTTGCCTAAGGGACATTAAGCTGATGAAGAAAACTTCAATTATTTTATCATTTCATTACGACAACATCTCATCAGCATTCCAATAATTTGTTCTATGAAATTTTTTACAATAAATTCGGCGACAAAAAGTGATTTTTGACCCAATAAGACCTAGACCTACGCAACCTAGAAGATTATAACATTTATTCTCATTTACCCGGAACAATTTTCAAATACATATCAAACCCAAAAGTGACAATTTATGAGGTGCGTCACTTTTCTTGTGCGATGTGACGAGTGCATGCGAGAGGCGGGACCAAAGGGATGGCCGCGCTGGGCGGAGCACTCACCGGGGGTAGAGGTACCCGACTCGGGCGACGTCTGCACCTCCTGGTGCGCGGCGCGGGAGCCCTTCCACGAGGAGGAGCCGCCGTGCGAAGCGGAGCCGGCGGCGGCGGCGGCGGAGGAAGAGGAGGAACCGCCGGCGCCCGCGCCCAGCGCGCCCAGCGCGCCCACCCCACCGCCCGCGCCGCCCTTGGCCGCCGACGCGCCCTGCGCCGACCGCTTGATGGACGCCATCTCCAGCATCAGCTCCTCGTGCCGCACGTTCTGCAGCTCCGCCTTCTTCTCCAGCTCGCGGATCTTGGACTGCGCAAGAGCGGCTTCTTGGATCTTTGGATCGCCAACGAGCGCAGGAGCGAGAGGAAGGGTTAATTGATTAGTGATTCCGGGCGCGTCGACTAATAATGTCGTTAGTCTCGTAAGTGTAGTGCATGCTCGTTTTAGCGGGGAAGGTGTCGATCTTCCCCGCTGGATAGCGAGTTCCGACGCCGGCCTACATGTCGTCATGCGGAGTTTTTCCTAATCAGGGATCTTCAATTATCAGAGCACCACCCCAGCTGGGCAAGCTGTAGGTTCCCGACTGTTCTTCCGACATGTGTGGGTGTGTAGTGCACGTAAGTGTAAGGGGTGAGAATAGGACATGAACGAGGAATAAAAGATAGCACGCGGTCCCTGACCTGTTTGTTAGAGTACTCCTCCGGGATTCTCCTGGTCTTGATTGGTATATTTCCGAGCTTTTTCCGATCACAACATCCAGTCACTAGAATTGTTATCCAGACAGCGCCTGAAATCGACCTAGCTATGCAAATAGTGCCGAAAATCCTGCAACTGTCGGGATTTGAATCCTAGGACCTCCAATCAGAGACACTGTAGTGACATCAATTGATGCTCAGAGCCATCTAAGCTTGTGAAGAGGAAGGAAATGAGGTGGCAATACATTTATATCTCGTATGCTGGGAATCCGATAGACTCGTGTTTACGAACCTTTCAGACTGGAAGGAAATCAATGTCTGTTTCTGAAGCAGAGATTCTATATAATCTGTCACAATGGAAAATGTGTTTAAATGAGCATAACCGAACTGTAGATAAACAGTTAGATTAGGGATCCCAGAGATCAATAAAACGTGCACAGATTGCACTTCTGCCACTATTACCTCGCATTAAATTTGACTGTTTTTATAACGTTAAATAAATCAATAAAAATGTACAGTAGTTCAGAATAAATATTACAATTTTGTAGGGCTTGTAAGAAGGTAAAAGAGAACTACTTTTTTGCCACTGAACAAGTGGTAGGAGCATCTGTATTCAAAAATCAAAGATGACGTTTATGACGTCGCGCCCCAGGTTGGTAGGCAACATTATACTCGCTGACGTTTGGTAGATACACGAAATCTCAGAGGCTGACCTGCCCATCGGTAATGTCAATAATTTGTTTTTTGTCTTTAATGTTCATACCTGGGTGGAAACGGAGATCAACGTTTTGGTACAGTCAAAGGTGAATAGTAAAGATAAAAAACTAAATATCATTAATACTGGGCTGGTCGTCCTCTAAGAATTCATGTAGCAGTGCGAGTTGCTTACCAACCACAGACGCTTTTTAAAAAAATGTCACTTGCGTAACTTCGTTATAAGAGATTTAGAGCCTCATGTTCGTTGCCAAATTATGTTCCTCCTTTACCTCTCTAAACTACATAAACGTATATAATATTTATTTTGAAGTAAAACTCACTATCATTCGATTCAGTTTTGACATGTAAATAGTGTTTGGTAATTACAGACATTTGCATGTTCTCAACCAGATCATAAAATATTGATAATTGTTTTACGGCTTCATTACTTCCACATTACCGTAAGTAAATAACACATCGCACAATATAATGCAAATCATTAAATCATTCAAATCTAGAACATTAAAACATTCAATTTCACTTTTACACATCTCTTTGCAATATCACCAGGACATTTCATTTTCAATATCAACAGACCGCACAATGTTAAAATGGTATTTAATCCATTAAAATTCTTAGAAGTCATCGTGGTCATTCATCATTCAGTATTGAGCATTCAGCATGTAGATATCTGTACGGGTAGACACAGATAATATGGATTCATACAAAAAATAATATACACAGAAGATTCACTTTCTATTTATTACACTTGTAAAGTATTAGAAGACTGTGAGGGACATGTAACTACTTCGTAATCTTATACACGCAGGCGCCTCAGATGGAGAGGACGTCACGTCAAAGCAGGCGATCGCGTGAGAGTAGGGTTGCCACAATCCACAAATTCAGAACCAGGACAAGACACGCGAATCACTCCCAGAGATTGATTTCGTGGCGACCCGGATGCAGAACCCTATTTGTTACTAAATGACAAATAATTTTGTGTAGCCTATAGTTAGCATCAGTCCAAATCCTGTCACACGTGGAGATCGTTGCGAATGTAGATGGTATATGCGTGAAACGGATTATGTTGAAATGTTTGGTGTTGTTTGCATTTAGTTGGGTAACTATTATTGTGCTACAATTGTTTCTCAGAAACGTTGCGACTGGTTGGTATTCGGAAGAATCGTAGAACGTTCTATAAGAATTTTTCCACATAAATCGGAAAGCTAACCTTATATTTTGAAGCGAGTATGTTTCTGCGAGGCTTGAGTTTGAAGAGACTAATGTGAGAAAAAATGTAGGGTTCCGTCATCTGAGACAACACACTCGACGTTTGCGTATGCAAATTGCCTATTCTTGAGGCTCTCTGTTGGCGTTTCCTAAGAAAACTTCAATTCCTAAAACGAACAATTGTTTTTGGGAATGATATGAAAACACACTCCGGAGACGTGTCATGTACAAATTATTGCTGAAGAAAAGTGTGCGAATCAGTATTTACCTACGTTCGTAAGTTTCCATTAATATTTTTCAGCCGGGCAAATTTGTGATCTTAACATTTCCTAAACCGACGTCGCACAGTAAAAGGAATAAAATAAATTGTTTATACTAAAAATAAAATAAACCCATAATGCTGTCGGCGGCCCGACGTGGCTCACCTGGAGAGCTTCGATGGTCTCGTAGCTCTTGGCCTTGTCGGCGGCGACGGCGGCGGCCGCGGCGGCGGCCGAGGCGGCGGTGGCGGCGGAGGCGACGCTGCTAGGGCGCGGGGTGGCGGAGGCGGAGGCCGGCGAGCCAGCCCCGTCGACCCCCGCCCCCGCCCCCGCGCCGCCCTTGGCCAGCTCCGCCTGCTTCTCGCGCAGCTGCGCCAGGGCCTCGGCGTGCTCCCGCTCCAGCTCCTTGCGCCGCTCCGTCGCCTCGCGCATTTGCTGCGGCGCAAACACACCCGCCCCCGTCACACCCACTGCACAGCTGCCGCAGAATAAATGCTATTGACCAGGAACAAGTGCTACATAACTGGTATAGGACATGTTCAGGCATGGGAGTAAAACTTGGAGATGAAACCTTTCGCTCCATTCTACTTCCTGACGACCAAGTAATCTTTGCCCAAGACGAAGAGGATATGATGTATATGGTAAGGAAACTAATAGAAGAATATAATAAATGGGGACGTTTTAATAAAACAGAATGTACGTGTATTGGGCAATAAATTATGGATATATACATGAATGGTAACACGATCAAATGTCTTGAATCTTTATTAAACAACTCTGATACATGGGCCACCGATCTTAACTCAAGAGTAATTATGGGGAAGAAAACAACTAATGATTTACATGGCATATTATGGAATAAGAATATCCGCCATGATGTCAAAAGAAGGTTATTCCATTGTATAGTAGAAAATATAGTCCTGTACGGAGCGGAAATATGAACACAAACACCAAACTTAAGCCTAAACTTACTCGTAGGGACAGAATTAGTAGTGAAAAAATATGGAGAAGGATGAATATAATTTGTTCTATTACAAAAACCTTGAAAAATAGAGAACTACAAAGAGGAGACGTCCAGAAAATGTTGGAAAAAAGATAGACACAAAATTATTAAAATGGCAACCACTTGAGAGGAGAAGAAGAGGAATAACGGTTTTAGAATGTGGAAAAATACATACCGGAATCTATGGAGGATAGAGACCTCAAACTAGGTGATTGGGAGGACCGAGAGCTGAGAAGAAACAAAACGGCAAGCTCCTGAGGGGAAAATGCCAAAGAAGAAGAACTTTTATGAGGTATAGGAGGTTTTCAATGACTGATTGATTAATTGCTATTTCCTGGCACGTCAATCGCTAAGTTCATTAGTTCCGATGATGCATGTTACCACTAGGTCGTACATGCTGCAGGATGTTATCTGCAGATTTAAAAAGACGCTGCAGATCTTATCATTTATAAATAAGTACAAAAAGCAGAGAATACATGGTTAAATGACCAACTGAAAACCCTCTTCCAGGAATTTATAATATAGTCTTGGATTATGTAAATGAAAAATTAGGGGAACTGTGCAAAGAAAGAGACACTTGCTCAAACATTGTTGGTGTACATAATAGGAAAAATAAAGAGTAAGATATAATTTACTATCCTTGGCACATTGATAATCCAAAATATGCACACATTTAATACTGCGAAGCACTTTTGGCGTCCATTATTTCTACTTTGAATGAGGTTTTCGTTCAGATTTCCTCGTTACTAGAGCAATTACTGATACGATATCTTGCTTGTCCTTCGATCATTAAATGTTGTTTTACTTCTCGCCACAAATGATGCATTTAGCATTTACGGTGAAATACAATAATTCGGAAAATAAATATTGGATCTAGATAGTGCAATAAGCTCAGTATATAGAATAATTCAAAAGAAACATGAGCTATCTCTTTTTATTTATAATTGGGTAATTACTATGTGAAAGAACAATTTTGTACACGTCAGATTCATTACTAAAGACGCGTCATTGTATTTTAATTCTTTTCCTTATTGATTAATTTTGCTTTCTAAGTAGGCAAATACGAATTACATCTTTAAATATGTATAGTAACCTCATTAATATTCGTTAACGCCCTAGGTCCGATGAAAGTGTTATAAGTCACGCCATGACCCATTTTTTAAATATCTTTCCCTCGTCCTAACACTAAAACAAATGAATGAAGGAAAAACGTCCGATTGGTCGTACTTGCAGAAACAAAGTTAAACTTTTCCTAAGAAATTAAACGCGAGTTTTTATTAAAAATACCTTGTAAAGATTAAATTGAAATGCAATACCGTTTTAACTGTAGCTTATTTCTAACATTAGGTAGAATGTCTTTCTCACAAACCGTTCAGTCATCGTACTGTTTAGAAAGTCGAGCGGGGTGTGTCGAGTTTGAATACTTGTAATGCGATCAAGGCGCAGGGTCAAGAAAAACTCGTACAAATGAAGAGATACAGAAGTTCAATAACCATTAATATAAGTAATAAGTGATAAGGTAACTACCAATGTAAATGACAAATATGGCGAAATGAATTCGAAAGAAAATAATTTTTACTAGCGTCCAAGTGACTTAGTAACAATTTTATGACTGTTGCTGGACTCATTGCCAATCTACGACCAACTTGAAAGAAATAATAGTGACTCAATCGTTGGAAATATCTACAGTAATGGACAGACTCAAACAGACGCAGCAATTGAAATTCATCATATGTGGGTGGGTCTGAGAAAACTCAGTACCGTCTTCATACTTGCGCATACTTCTTAACTTCAAAAATATTATTAAAACAGTTAAAACGTAACAGATAAATGAAAATTATATACAAAATATTAAACAGTTTAAATGTATTTTTATCTCATTTTAGGTTTTATAATCCAATATTCAAATAATTGTTCCTAAGTGGCCACTAAATCACGTTACTACGGATTAACAACAGCGTGGAAAAATTAATATAGGAATAAAATTTTCACTAAACTTATACCAATAAGTGTTCTTCTAAAATGTTACTGTAGCAGTGAATCAATTGATTGCACTTCATGCGTGTTCGCTTTGTCTAATGGATTTCTCAAACTGGACGAAGTGATTGGTTCAGAAATCCATCCCGTCTTGCACACTGTCTTTCAAAAACTGACTTAAATCACGAGTGATTAAAACAAATATTTGATTACGAGTACCAACATTGTAGTAGTATTGCTGGCATAGAAGGGGATTAGATATTAAGAAAAGAAAAATTGTAAAAGAATAAGCGACTAATGTGTTATTATTTGCACACATAAAGCTATGATATTTCATTTATTCTTTTCAACGCACATTATTTCACACAAAAAACAGTATCTAGAACCTACGCTAAATAAACAAAATCATGTTACACAATGCAACCAATACAAAGCCTGTGGAGAGGATAGATCTTGAGATTTTCTGAAAAAAAAGTTACTTAAGTAATTTTGAACACAAGAAATGCTGACAATTGTAAGTAAACCAAAGTAAAGCTTGATTTATTTATTCATCATACTAAATAGAACATTCTTGACAAATAAAACTTTAGATAAGGTAAGGTATATTTAACTGAAATTGAGTACAACTCGACAGTAGTATTTTACAAATAGTTATTTATGCACTGAGGGCGTTATAAGGATACTAACCGTCGAGCGGCGTCAAAAAGCACGAAGACCTTTGGCCCTACTAACTTTTTGTTGCCCGAGATTACTAGTACTAGTTAACCCCCATGATATATATATGATTTTATTTCTTCGCAATTTTAATGATTTGTATAGAATTTTTTACGAATTAACGAACTGTTTAGTCGGATCGGTGTGTCTTTTCATGTTTCCATCCCATAATTCCCTTTCATAACTCCTTCCGTAAGAGAACATGAAGCGTCATTCATTCAACTATTTTCAAATTTCCCTCGAAGCACGATCCTCGCGATCCAGGTAAGTTATGCAGCTCAGTGTCGAAGGCAATTAGAAGCAACCGCCCCCGCCGCCATCCGCCGCGCTCACATGTTGCAGCTGCTGCACCTGCTTCTGCAGGTCACTGTTCTGCAGCGTCAGCTGCGTGTTCTTCTCCAGCACCCGCGCCAACTGGTCCTCCTGCGCACGCAAGACACACAAACACGTCAGGCGTTAGTTCGCTGGGGGACTGTTCTCGACGCGCAGGGGGGCTCGGAATAAATGATAAAATCTTCTAGGGCATCTAGGACTGACGATTGAGAGACTGATTAAAAATTCCGGGCGCGTCAACTGCGTAAGTCATTAGCCAAGCAGGTGTAGTCCATGCATTTTCTACAAGAGTTGGCGGTGATCTTCCTCCGATGGATGATGAGATCCGGTACTGATACTCATATTGGCTAATGGGGGTTTCCCCCAACAAGATCTCGTCTTCAGCGGGGCACCGCCCCAGCCGGGGCGAGCTCTAAGCTCCCAACCGCTCTCCCGACATGTGCAGTAGTGTAGTCCATGTACGTGTACGTGTATGTACTAAGTTGGGGTGAGGGTAGGACAATGAAGAGGAAGTAAAGGTCGCGCGCGGTCCTTGGCCAACTCGTTGGGGCACTGGTCGGGCATTCAGCTGGTATTGATTGGAGAAACAACGGAATACTATCGATCAGAGCAGTCGGCAGCTAGAATTCCCCTCCATAGAGCGAATGAATTCAGCCAAGCTGTTTAGCTAGTGTAGAAAATCCTGTCACAGTCGGGATTCGAACCCTTGGACCTCCCGGTCAGAGGCACCGCAGTAACGTCAGTTGATGTCCTGAGTAACCTTTGGCGGTAGGGCGAGTGTCGAAGACGATCAATTTTTGCTAATGAAAATGTGGTGGAAAATCACATATTACTAATTAACACACGTGACAATTATCTCTATTGCACTTATCTTGGATTAGTGCTTGAGGGGTTCACGAGATATCTGACTGCGTCTAACAGAAGTACACGTTGCGTTGTTTACCACTCAGAAACAAAGTTACAAATGTCACATTGTTATACGAGATTTTCCACAGCATGTTCATTGATAGAAAGTGATCATCCTTTACCCCACTTATTTACCCTACATATTTGTAACATATGATTTTTTTTCAATGAACATTAAAAACTGCATGTTACGTAGGGGAGAAAATTAAAGTATGCGCACGTTTTCGTGACCTCTAAAATCCCTTCCCCCCTTTTTAACACTAAATAGTTGAATGATGATTAAAAGTACCAAAAAAATGTATTCTGAGATATCTCATACCAATAAATAATGGAATGAAATGAATGTGAGCTAAATATATTCTAAGACACAATAAAGTGAAATATTTCTCGCAAAATACCACATTTAAAACGAAAATAAGTCACTTGGATCACTGAAGTGGACGATTTTCATTTTGCAAGTATTATTAGTTTTAAGGTAAAAATAAGAATGCTCTCTGTCAAAGACCCACATTTACAAGGAAAAGGAAAATGTATCATTCGCGGAAAACAATCCGGAATTAGAACCACATTTAAATTAATAAAAATGTATGGAAGTGATGGAAGGAGATATGCTGTGAATACAACTGAATATCATAGTGAACAATTTAAATATTATAACTAGAAACAGATAATGAAACCTGGTGGTATAAGGTATTAAAAATATTGGGGTCACACACAGCGATAGAAATAAGAGAAATTCCAAACACGTTCTTGAATATTCAACAGAATGAATATCTTTAAACAAACGTCCAACATGCGAGACGTAATGTCATGCTCCATTTTCAGTGGACAAAAGAAGTGCACCCATGACTTCAGCAAAGCTAATCAATAATTATCTATTCAAATTACAGAAGTACAAAGAGTAGGTTCTTCTCTAATGTCATGAAACATGAACGAGACACACTTAGACCCATATTGATTGTAAATACAGCTACATCAAGATATTCAAAAGCGCAACTGAATCCAATTAAATCTGTATGTAATTTGTGTCTTAAGAATTATTTGTTCCGAGAGGCAATTTATATTGATAATACCTGTATTATTAAAAATTTAGAAACCATATTATTCTGTTGAGTGTTAGCAAACTTTGACTTACATCTTTTTGATTTCATTTGGGGTGCAACCGCTAGAACGATTAACGAATACATTTCTGTTTGCAGGGGGTCAATAATATTTTTGTTAGATCGACATTAGGGGATGTCGATTTTTGTGCAGTTTTTTTGTATCATAAAATATTCAAAGTAATCGGCCTATCCAACATTCATTCTGTGCACCGTGAAAACGTTCTTCTGTTTTATTTCATGAGGGAAGTTTTATATTTATACATGCTTGGTATTGAATCACCCAATAATATTTATTTTTAAACAAAAGCATAGAGATGTTGTGAAAAAATATTGAGGCACATTTTCCAGAAAAGTTTTGGGGGAGACGCGCATAATTCGTCCATTTTTTAATGTAGTAGGAAATGAATCAGAGAACGAATATTCATGGCAAATTGAGTAATTATGAAAAAATAAGTTATTTGAATGATATAATAATAATAATAATAATAATAATAATAATAATAATAATAATAATAATAATAATATGATGATGATGATGATGATGATGATGAAAAGGCCCTAGCCTTAACTAAGAATCAAACCTTTAATTTGCACCATCTGCGCCATCTGGATCGGTATCCTAGAATTGTAGAAATATTCTTCTGCATGTCTACAGAAATAGAAATACTGTTCCACGTTTCAACAATATTAACGGGGGAGAAATAAACGAAAAATCTTGATGTAAGGAAACTTTCATTATTTTCGCTCTAAAATGGTATTACGGCCTGCACGTTTTTAGCGCCAGATAATAAGCCGACACAAGCAACGCGTATTCCGCAAATTGCTTTAATATACGGCATGTAAGCTATTGAATGTAGTGACCAGTTTTCATACGAGAGTCTCACTGGGTGGTTAATCAGAGCGGGTGATCTATTTGATAAGATGATATTTAATTTTTTATGAAATGTTTCGAGACAGGTTGCGAATAATGTTTTTCTTCACCTTTTGCTTTTTTTATCATTCTACCTCAGATACATTATTCATCCCCCATAGCACTCATTCATTTATTCTCAGCGAGTATATCATTGTAGATAGTTTGTATTCTCACCATTTTATGGTAATATCAAGATATTCTCTATTATTTGAAATTGATTAAGTTTTGAACTAGAAATATCCACACCCCAGGAGACCTTCATTCATTACAATATTACCACTACACGTAACATAAGCATGGAGCCTTGCATAAATTGGGATGTATAAGTACAGGAGTGTAGCATGATATAATCCACAAACAAAATTTTAATTTCATTATTTTGTTTTATCCATCTGTAATCATAACGAATTTTATACTCAATAGATACGTTTTTCTGAATCTGTTAGTTCTTTAATTCCTGTCAATCTTTTCGACTTTTAATGGACAAATGATTATGGAGCAACGCATAATAAAAATTCAAAGCGTAAATGCAAATGGAGAAATTCCGGTGTTTCCGAAATTACAGTGTTTACAATACATTTGATGTTACTTACATGTTTTATTTCACTTTAGCATGAAATTTATTCCACAAGGACAAACATTTCGAAATATTTCATTGCATAAGAATATGGCAACTTCGAATGAAAGAAGTAAAGATATATATTTAATGGTTATTTCTCAATTGGTTAATATACTGGTATTTTAACTTTCCATTGATGTTACTTCCATTAATGCTAATGAATGAACGATCGAAATGAATGAATGAATGAAGAACACCATTAATTCCAAAGGTGAATGACATGCGTGTCACTTTGGGGGATTATTTTAGTACGTTGCAAAATTGTGCTAAGGGGTTCATGTTCCTTAACGTCTGTTAAACGAGCTTCATATCTGGTAAGGAAAATACAAAGTACCCGGACTTTTTAATGGAAGAAAGTTGTTGATAAAAGATAAATACATATTATGACAGAAAATGAAAACTTCAACAGCCTCAGAATTTATGCAGAAAGTTCTAAGCAAAGGTCAGGAGATAATAATCGTAGTAAGTTTCGAGAACCACTCATGAAATTATTTTGCTGCGAATCAGTTCATGACTTGTATACAGTAACTACAATTTCCCAAAACTTGTATTACACTAAAATTACTTTTATGAAAATCACACTAAACAATGAAAATCACTTGTATGTAAATCATTCCGCAATAATGCTTGATTAAAATTAACTTAAAAACCAAGACATTTAAAGTCGATCAGTAACTCCAGGGCTGACCTGATGAATGGGCCCTACAACGAAAGTGCAACGTAGAATTCATGATTAGGTTGCACTAATTTATTACATGTTTTAACAATTTTTTAGTCTTAGAGAGTCCAATAGAGTGTTATTAACAATAGTAGATGAGACCAGAACGTATACGTAAAGAAAAATAATTTTAAATTCAAAGTACATATGCGATTCAAGATTCGATTTAGAGCTCTCAATCCTGAAATAAAAATAAACTCCAAAATAAATTGTAAATTACATTCGAGAGTGTCTTGAATTAAAATGAGCGAGATCACTATTATTTGTTACACAAATTAAATTTATAATAAGAAAAACAAGTGAACTTGTAACCAAACCATTGTCATTCTAGAAAATGTATATAAAACAATATTGACTAGTGGACACGACATATTGAGCATGGAAAATAATTAAATCACTAAGAATGCATTGGAAAATGAGTTGGAAGAGGTGGAGTTTTTTGGAACCAACTCTGATTTAAGGTAAGGTAGATTAAAAATTGCATTACTGATACGTATACACTTTCAGAAATAGAGGGTTTTTTCTGAGAACCTTGATTTATACTTATAACTACGAAACTGTCTAACGCGTACCTTTTTAAAAATAGTGTTAATTTAAGATTAGAATATTGTTCATACTCGGTTCCACTGAGCATGCATTTCTTCAAAGATTTCATAATTTTGTGCTCACTTCAACACAACAAAACGTATTTTAAAATGAATTTTGTCCATGCACTTTCACTGGAGTCATCAACAATAGCCCATTAATTGATAGAAAATATTTTTAGTTAACTCTTTTCAGTCTTGACAACAATCATAAGTCGAAAAATGCGTTTTATTACGATACCTTAAAAATATGAATTTGAGAATGACGTCATTCAATAAATGGCTATGTTTATGCATTTGTTGTAAAAAAATATTATGTCTTAATTGTCTGATTTTATAAATTGGAAAACTGAGCAGATAAATGTCAATGTTTGCTTGAATCATCAAAATAATTTAGAAATTAGTTAAACATTTTGTTTGATGATTTTTGACTCTAAAATTGACGACAATGGTTATTAGAAGAAAGAGGTATTGTGCCGAACATATGTGGCTATTTTAATACGCGTCTCTGAATATATATTTAATAGCAGAAGTGAGTCTGATTGCTAATTTGTCGGGTAATTTTGGAGGAGTATTTCCCTGATAACGAACCTGATTGGTCCATTTGGTTGTACTACAGACTAACCAGAATAAAAATGCTCTTTCACTGTGCATAATGGCGATTGAGACGTATATTTCCATGTAATTTACTGGTGTCGTTTGAAAAAATAGAAATGATTACGTATATATCACTATGAGAGGTACACAAAACCTATTATAGTTTTCAGGTTACTTTGAACCTTTAAAATATAAGTTAAAAGATGTGGTATAACATTTAGCCTTTCAATGGGTGCCATGGAAAGAACAAAAATATCATTAGATAAATGAATAATTTACGTATATGATCAAATCTGGTTTCATATTTTAAGAGTGTAATTTACGAGTTGAAATTGTATATTTGAAAACCTTCGAGAAATAAAAAAATAAACAAAATGTAAGTTTTCATTACATAAACCTTTAACATAGTACAGAAAAACACTAGCCTCACATTTGTTGCAATTGTTGTTGTGAGAAATTTGCAAAAAAAGTAATAAAGACATCGGGAGAGGAATGGAAAACAATGAATGAAAGAACAAATCGTGTCGACAAGCCGGCGATCATAGCAGCGGGGGCTGAGAGGGGTCGGCGTAGGCGCCGGCGTCGGTGTCGGCGACGGCGTCGTCGTCGTCGTCGTCGTCAGCGGCGCACGTGGCACGGGAGCGTACTCCGAGCGGTGGGGGCGGAGTGGGGTGGGGGCGAGCGGGAGCGACACGCCCTGTCCCAATGGGCCGGCGGGGCTTACCGAGTGGGGCGATGGTGACAGCGGGTGGCGGCCGAGGCGGCGAAGGGCGCAGCGGCGGGGGCGCGGGGGTGGTGGGCGGACAGGGGCGGCAGCGGGTCGGGGGCCAGCCCCGACAGGAACAGAGCGGCTGGAAGAGGTCGCTGGACGCCACGTTAGCCGTCGATGCTGGGCGGAGAAAACACCTGCGCGCGGGGGCGAACGCCGGCGGCGCGCCCAGCCCGCCAGCCCGCCAGGCCCGCGCTCGTCGGAAGGCCCGGGTGCCCCGCCGGGCAGCCGGGCGCGGGCCCCGGCCCGGGGATTTTTCGGGCCGACCCGCGGGCCCCGGGGCCCGCCAGGGCCCCATGCCCCCGTCGCGGGCGTGCCAGCGGAAGCCGCTGCTGGCGCCGCCGGCCCCGGCGCCGATCACCGGCGCTTGCCTTCGGCCACGCGCTCGCCCACGTTGCCGCTTCGTACGCGGCCACGGCGCCGCGGCGTGGCCTTCCTGTTGCCCATGGCGGCGCTGGGCCGGTGCGGGGGCCGCGCGGCGCGGGCGGTGCCCCGCCGGCTCGATCGATCAGACAAAAAAAAACGCGGCCGAGGCAGAACGCGGCTCCGCACGCCGCACGCGTCTCCGACGCGACGCGACCCGAACGACGCGACGCGAACGCGCCCGCTGAAGCTTCGGTCCGGATTCCTTCCTCTCTGCTTCTTCCTCCTCCTCCTCCTCCTCCCTCCTCCTCTTCCTCCCTCTTCTTCTTCTTCTCCTACGTCTACTTCCACTCCCAGGCGAATCCTCACTCTCGTCGCACCACTCTGCGTCACTGACTGCTCTACTGCCTACTCTAGGACACGCGTGGCGCGCTTACTACGATTAGGCCGTTGCGGAGGACAGGTCTGGAGAGCGCGGGGTGGGCGGCAGAAGGGGCGGCGTGCAGCCCGCACCGGGCGCGGACACACACGCACTAGTGCGAGCGCGGCGACGCGAACACGACGCGACGCGGCTGCCTCCACGCACGGGCACGCGCGCGCCGTCTCGCTGGGCGCACTGCGCTAGCGGCTGCGCGCAACACACACTGCGACGGGCGGCCGCGGCGGGCGCCGCGCCGGGCCGGCTGCGATGGAAGACTGGGACTGAGACGTGGGAAGACGGCGGTGGCGGGCGGCGCGTGGCGGCGCGTGGGCGGGCGCGGCCGTGGGCGTGGGCGGAGGCATCGCGGCCGCGCCCGCGCGCGCCGCCGGGCGGCCGAGCGCCGCGCGCCCGGGGCTGGGCGCCGGCCTGCGAGCGGTGGCGCCAGAGCGCCCGGGGCTACGCGCCTACGGAGCGCCCGCCGGCTGGCTGCGGCGGGGCTCCGGCGGGTGCAGCGCCGGCTTCGGCCGCGGAGGCGACCCGGAACCCGGGGCCATGCGCAGGCGCGGTCGGCGGTCGACAGGGTGAGAGAGCGGGCGCTGCGCGCAGGTGCCGCGGGCGGCTGCTTGCCGGCCGGCGGGCACTGCGGGCGGAGGCAGCGCGCCGCCGCACGCGCCGGGGGCGCGCGGGCCGGGGGGGCGCGGGCGCGGGAGAAGGAAGGAAGCGGGGAGAAGGGCGAAGCGGGCGGGGAGAGGGCGCGAGTCGCAAGGCCCGTGCTGCGTGCCGCGCGGTCGCCCCGCCGCGCCGCGCCGCGCGCTCGCCGGATGATCGAGGGAGGACGGCGGCGCTAGTGGTGCGGCGGGGGCGGCGCGGAGCGGGCGAGGCCGGCGCGGGCGGGGGCGGGCGGTGCGGGCGGTGCGGGGCAGTTCTCCATTCACTTTGCTACTTACGCTTTTAGCTTTATCGTTCACTACTCTCCAATTGTTCTCTTATCAAGTAACACACGTATGCCTCATTGCCATATTCTCAGACTTACAACTACTACTCCGATCGGGCGGGGCGGTGCGGGGCGCGGCGCAGCGGGGGCGGGAGGGCGCAATGGCGCTCGCGGCCGATCGCAGGCGCGCGCTGCCACCACGTGCTGCTGCCGCTGGCGGAGGGCGATATCGATCTGGGCGCGCGCAGCCCTGGAGATGAGGTCTGCCTGCGCAGGGCGGCGACGGCAGCGGCGTGGCCGGGCACACGGCCAGGGCGCGTGAGGTCGCGGCTGACGCGGCGGCGGCGCGGTCCTCGCCCCGGGAGCCGTCGACCTCGCCGCGAAGGGAAGAGGGGGAGGGGTGAGGATGAACCGAAGGGCGCGCGCTCTTCGGCGACGGAGAGGATAGGTCTCGAGTTCTTCCCTGGAAACGCGTTGGCGGAATCGTTCAATATTGCTCATTATATGTCGACGATGCCAGCACAGTTAAATATCGGCAGTACATTTCTAGGTTGGTAACAGTTTCCGAAGATCTGTTTGATTCTTTGTGGCCAAATATTATCCATTAAATTGCTGTTAATTGTACATCTCATGTGTTTTTAGCAGCAGGTTATAATTTCCGTCACACCTAAGAAAGAATTTTTCATCTATTCCCTGAAGAGTATCACAAGCTTTGCATTCCAGTACATTCGTATCCTACTATTCTTTTCGAACACACCTTTATCTGCCTATAGAGACTTGTGGCTGATTGGACGGGGACAAGATATATATAAATGGGGCAGCTGTCAACGTTCAATGTGCCGTCGCATGTAGGTCAGTAGTCGATGTTTCATCTACGAAGGGCTGTCGGCGCCTGTTAGTGATGGGGTGCGTAGGGCTGCTAGCTCATTAGCAGGGCCGCGAACGAGAGTGGCGAACCGCCCCCCTCCCGCCCCCAGCCTGCCTCGCGCCGGCCGCCTCCCGCCCCCGCCGCCGGCTCCAGTGCGTCTGGCGTCGCCGCAGAGCGGGAGCCTGCCAACTAGGGCTGCCGCCGCCGCCGCTGCGTCTGCAACTGTGGCGGCCGGGAACAACTAAGAGGAAAAACGACGCTTCGGCTATGGCGTAAGAAACCGGAGCAAGATATTTTGCAAATGGAAATTACTGCGACATCAACAAAAAAATAAAAGACGCCCCAAAAAATTGAGGCTCTGTTTATGAAGGATAAACACAAAATGTTACGGGCGGTGTGTAAGTTTTAATGGACTGAAAATGTGCCAGAGATACCGAGATTTCTGAGAATTATTAGGAATAAAGAAAAATATTATTCAGTATGGTTTTGACTTGTAGAGGCGGAGGAAAATATGCTTTATGTTTGAAGATAATTTATATTTTAGTAAATGAACTTTATAAATGTCACGATGTTATGTCAATAAAAAGGTAAGTATTTTCTCATGCTTAGTAGACGGCTTAATGAGAAACTGATGGGACGCCCGCCTGGCACGATGTATTATATTACAAGCACAGCAGAAACAACGAAGTAATAAAAACGTGTCTCGAATCAGTTGGCGGAGGTGGTTCCCTGTTACGTTGAGATAGCTCAAAGTGTTTTTTAAAATGCATTAAAATACAAAGAACGATGGTTTAGTAACCATGAATTATTATTTTATTAATTTATGCAAGGTGTGTATATTACACTGAGCCTCCGATAATTTTAATTAACAGATATTAGTATATCCGAAAGCGCATAATAGCTATTCACAACAGTAATGGAAGATTAATATATATATATATATATATATATATATATATATATATATATATATATATATATTTGGAGTGTTTTACGGGTTGCATAACACGTAACAGGTAACAAGGCACACCGAGCTATATCAGATTGCAGTTTCTTTGTATAAAGAATTAACATACTCAGTGTCACGTCACATATAGCCAGTCATATTTTTACTTTGAAGATGGGCAATATTATTCTTTAATGTACAAATATAAATGATCTTACACCAATAAACCTTAATAAAATTTAAGTTCAATATATTTTTAATACAAATAAAATAAATATTTAATTTTACTTTGGTTTTGTTACAAATTTACATATCAACTCAATGTTAAATATTTTGATAAAATTTATTATAAAAAATAAAATATATTGGCGTTCATGTAAGCACGTAAAATCTTGTCATACGTTTATTAATGATCATGAATTAAAATGAAAAGCGTCCAAAACACTATTTTAATCAATTATTATGTAATTAAAATGTTAAGTAGTCATGTAGTCAATTAATTAAATTATTTATTAACAAGGCGGAAACGTGTTTTAAATGAACAATCACTTATCGTCTTGTAGCATTATATGATTTGAAAAGAACGGCTTCTGAAATGTTTCAGGAAAGCACGGCCCATTTTAATTCAAGAGTAACCACCTGGTTGAAATTACACACGTTTCGAATCCGGCAGGTTTTTTAACGACGGCAACTGGGAGCGCGAGTGAAGGGGATAAGGGCAGGGGGAAGGGAGGGGGAAGGTGGCGCGTGGCTGGGAAAGGTGTGCGCATGTGCGTGCGGGCGATGCGGCGAAACCTCACGACTGCGTGGGAGGGAGCGTGGCGGGCCCGTAGGTGCGTTTCGCGCTGCCGGGGCGCCCGGTTTTCGGAGCCTTACGTCTCCCCTTAGTGCAGAAAGGCAAAGGTGGGAAAGGAGGTGTGAAACTGATACTATGTTTAAATCTTTTATGTATTGTTAATCACTGCAAAAATTGTAGAACTCGTAATAGCTTTTGAATTCACGACCACACTATTAATTCTAGGAACGGTTAATGGTCGTTGGTCATTTCATTGAAAAAACTTGTTTGCCAACGTTTCTAAACTTAATTGTTCCCTCGTCAGGGGCATCGGACGCATATTGACACTGTTACTCCATACGAGTTGGATATGTTACATACAAACTAAATAACACACTGTTAATTATAGGAACGGTTCATAGTTATTGGCCATTTCATTGAAACAACGAGTTTGCCAACGTTTCGGAACTTAACTGCTCCCTCATCAGAGCTGTGAGACGCATATTTACAATGTTACTCAATTCAAGTTGGATATGTTACACAAAAACTAAAAACATACAAAATGAAAACTAAGATTTTTACATAAAACAGAGATATTATAACTAAAATTCAATAGATTATTAATATTGAAACAAACCCACCTTGCTAAAGTTGAATATTGAAGAGCATGACACCACTCATCAAACTCAAAAATTTCCGAAACGTTGGCAAACGAAGTTTTTTCAATGAAATGACCAACAACCACTAACTATTATTGGAATGAAGTCCTTGCATTTGGAAAATGAGTTTTTGAGGTCAGATGTAAAAATGTACATTATCAGGTATTAAAATTGACGCAATGAATGATTTTTCATGAATTCACACATGCCGATAATGAAATCATAAGGAAATACAGCTGTAGATAAGAATCCCTTGCATGGAATTATATTTATTTCAAACGCAGTTTACCATTTCTGTTTTTCTTTTTCAATAACGAAAAAATCCAGATGTA